ATAATGACTTTTGGGTTATGTTAAAGAGAGGTGGGGCTCCTATCTTTTAGAGAACCAACCCAAAGTAATTATGGAAAAAGCTCCATCTTACATCTGGTTAAACCAATCCAATGGTGGGATAAGGATAACAGATGGTATAAAATAGATTATGGCTTGATACAATATTAAAGCTGGGTGATGGGTACATGAGATCCATTAAACTCTCCCCTTTTGTAAATATTTAAAATGTTCCAAGACAAAAGGTTTTAAAAGGTTGATTGGTTACTAAGCTAAGAGTATATTCATACTGATTGCTAAACATCAATTGAAAATTGAAGATAAGGGATCACCATAATTTACAAACCCCCTACCAACTGGTTTCCATAGGTAGAAAAAGGGGAAAAAGCATTAACTATCAATTTATTACCAAGTACAAAAATCCTTAGAATTCTGACATTAATAAACTAATGAGATGAAATAACTCACAACTTCACTTCATTACATAACTCTTAAGAATTCTCAACAAAATGTAATACTTACCTAAGATTTTAAAGTGAAAAATAAAACTACAAGAAAGCAAAGGCATCACCATAGCAGTTAAGTAATGTTGCCTTTGGATAAAGAAAGTTGATAAAAGACTAAGATAAATAAAAATTGTAATAAAAAAATACATGACTAATGGTGTTATTTTTCTCTAAGGAATTACTTTATTTCTCTAACATATTATATGGAAGTCGGACTGAATAAAATTCCAGTACTGCCCTAAACATTTCTCGAACAAATATTTACTTTGTTAATACAAAGACATTAAACTTTAGAGTCACTAGAGTTTCTTTGGTGTCTAAGGCAAAAAGGGTGTCCAATAGCTTTGGTATTTAAATAATGTAACTAAAATTAAATTTTTAATAGGTGATAAGGTAAAAATAAAACATAAGAGCATAAAAATAAACAATATTGATATTCTAGAAAAAAACTATATGTAATTAGTAGAAAAAAATTTTGGACAAGATATGCTCTAGACCCTGATGCTACTTTGGAAAGGACAATACTCTAGGTCTGAGAAAGAATCCTTGACTTTCAGCAAACTATTAACCATAATAGACCACATTTTCAAGCAGGCATGACATGTGATAAAGTTTTAGTGAAAGTGTTTTGTTTCAGATCTCCTGAAGAGACAATGTACAATTATGTACAACCTCAAGAATGGGAAATTACACTCCATCTATGTATAATATGTCAAAATACACTCTACTGTCATATATATCTAAAAAAACAAATTAAAAATTAAATTAATATAAAAAAAGAAGTTCACGGGACTGGAATAAGAGTAAACAGAGAAAGAACAATTGAAATGATATTGTCAACAGGCAGAAGTTAGGGACAGTATGGGCAAATTCCTGAATGAGTTGAGGTAATTCACTTCTCTCTTCTCAGCAAGGAAAGGCCAATGGAAGTTTTCAAGCAAGAAACTATTTAAGGTACTTTTAGGACTATAATCAGTTCAGTATTGGTAAATGTTCAAAAACCGGCTCACAGAAAAAGAAATACATTGCACTATTATTATACTCAATTTCCACCATACAAACACAAGAGATGTAAGAGTAAAGCTCAAGATAATATTAAAATGTAATAAAATAAGCAGCTCAGGAGCCTGAGGCAGAAGGAATGTGAGTTCAAAGCCAGCCTCAGCAATGGCAAGGCACTAAGCAACTCAGTGAGACCCTGTCTCTAAATAAATATAAAATAGGGCTGGGAATATAGCTCAGTGATTGAGGCCCGAATTCAATCCCCAGTACCAAAAAAAAAAAGAAAAAGAAAAAAAGAAATGTAATAAAATAATTAGAAGGTGAAAAAAAGAGAGAGAGAAACAATGTGCATGCCTTTTGCCTATTTTTCTTTGCACTCTAAACATTCTGCTGTAGAATGGCCAGAATTCTACCAGCCATCTTGAAAATAAAACATTATTTGTTTAAACAACAATTATTTCAGGTTTTTCTGTAATTTGAAAACAAACAATCCTAATAATACAAAACCACATTCCTAATATTACCTTAAGATTTAAAGAGTTACTCAACAATAAATAAAGAAAAAGAAAATGCTAGAAGGAAAAGCAACATACAAAGTAAGAAAAAACACATTAAGTACTTCTACATTTTCCTCCTAACTTCTAAGAATGAGAGAAAGGAGTTCAATGTCTTAGGGTCTTTTTTCTCTAATACAGGTAGTTAGCATGTTTAGTCTAGATTTAAGCACCTACCATGTGCCATGTACTAAGGTACCTGAATACCGAAAAAGATTCCTATTTCAATAAAGCTGAAAGGTGAAAGGAAGCAGATATTTGATTCAATGGGGGAAAAATACACAAAATGCTTAGCTATTCTTCCACTGAAATACCTTATCACTATCAAAAATATAAAGGAACTATAATTAAATTCTTCTTTTAGAATTAAGGTTCTGAATGAAAACCAGAATAATTTATTATTTGTTGCAACTATATCAACTGTTTCTGTGAAATTAATTTGTGAAGAGTATTTTTTTGCATTTTATGTAAATTTTTTTGTGAAAAGAATATTTTTATCCATGTTTTAATCTCCTATGGGAAAAAATTTCTTGATATGTTCCCAACAACTTCAAACCTATTTTTATAGAATGAGGCTGAACACTGAAATGACCCTGACAAAGCGGGTTTTGGTGAGAAATTTACTGAAGGAACTTAAAAGCTTAAGTGAACTGAGAGACACAAAGATAATCCAGTCATAAATTATTGATCAGTCAACCAAAGGAACTAAAAATTTTAGTATCTAAATAAAACATAGGAAACCAGATTATGAAAGGGCCAGAGTAATTTCTAAATCTGCCCAATATCAGTAAGAACACATCTCTACTTCATAACCACTTAAAAGCGTTTGTGAAGATGATAGGAAAGTTAACATACATGAGCACAAGATGAATACCTGCAAAACGATAGAGGTATGACAGATGCCAGAGCCACACTTCAAATCAGAAGGAAATAATGAAAAAATAAGCTGAGAGAGTACCAAAGAAGAAGTCGCCTAAGGGCAGAAAAGCAAATAACTTAAGAACAGAAGAACAAGTCACCCACTCCTGGTGTTTATGCACTGAAGTCTACTACCAAATGATTTGGAAAATAATGGCTTTAGTACTTTACAATTGATCTCTACAGATCACGAGTTATCACATACCTAATTTTACATGAAAGAAGTGGCTTAGGCACCTCAAATATCACAAAGTGATTTTTAACACAGTGATACCTTCAATGTATTATATATGTTAAAAGCAATATAGTCTTGTTTTAATAATCACACTTTAATCATGGTATAATATTTATTATATTTTTTATATATTCCTCATCTTAAATTATGTCATAAGTTTGGCATGTGTGCTGATTGTGTCACAACTGTATTATGGTTTATATATGAACATTTTGTTACAGTTTCTTTATATTGCAATACATTATGTATCATTATGGTATAAACCACTTTGTGATATTTGAGATGCCTAAGACACCTCTTTCATGTAAAAATTAGGTATGTAGTAACTCTTGATCTGTAGAGATCAATTAGGAAAGTACTAAAGCCATCATTTTCCAAATCATTTGTCAGTATACATCAGTGCACAGGGAAAACATCTATGATGGGGTATATTTCTCTCATACACACATAATTTTCCAGGGGATTCAAAAATGGTTATTATTATTATTTTTGTACTGAGGATTTAACCAATGGGCACTGAGCTATATCCCTAGTACTTTTTATTTTTTTATTTTGAGACAGGGTCTGGTTAAGTTGCTGAGAGTTTCAGTAAATTGCTAATGCTGGCCTCAAAATTGCTGATTGCAATTCTTCTGTCTCAGCCTCCATAGTTACTTTGGTTACAGGCATGTGCCACCATGACTGGCTTCAAAATAGTTATTAAATATAACAAGATTTAATTGTCAATATACCTTTGACACCCAACTTGTGATGAAAGCAAAAATCTTTATAATCTGTTGATTACTTAGTATTGTTTATAAAAGTGAATTGATTATTCAATTGAAAAGCATAGTTTTTCATATGAAAATATAGATGTCAAAAACCTGATGACAGAATCCAAGGTCATTATTCAACCTCAATACAAATAAAGATCAAAGACAATTCTCTTTGAAAGTGAACCTTAAAGGATAGAGACTAAGTCTGTTTAATCAGTAGAAAATAAAGCATAAATGGCAAAGGTTCTTAATCTGGGGTCCAAGATCTATTTCAGAAAACCCAAGAACCACCAGGCTTTATGTAAAATTCTGAGTCTTGGCTTTCATCAGATTCTCAAATGAGTATAAATCTAAAGATGAGTTAGTAGAAGTGTGATGATCTTATTTAGCAGAATAATTTCACAAGATCTTAAGTTATTTAACAGCAAAAACCTAAGTAATAGCAACTTCATTTCCATAGTTACACTGAATTTTCCTCTTTCCAAGGAGGAAATATAGTAGGGGGCGGGAAAAAGCTGACACCAAAAACCATCAACTCTATAGAGGTTTCCAGAAAACTATATGGGATTTCTACCCAGTTAGGACCAAAGGGAAATCATGAGACAGTTTCAGCATTAAAGAGAAAAAGAGAATGGCACACATTTTCCTGGACATCCCAGTACTCCCTCTCTGAATCTTCAGGGTGAAATCCAAATGCCACTCCCCCAGGGAGAGTCAGGTTTCTCCCAATACCAAGTAGGCAAAGCTAAGGTGAGCTGATTCAGAAACGAAATACTCTCTCCATCTGCCAAAACGAGTAGGGGGCTTGTTCATCTTGTCTGACCATATGGGACAGGAAGGAGGTTGCATGATAGGACCTGAAAATTAGGACAGGCGGCCCTAACATATTGATATGGGTTGTGAAAAAGCAACAGAGGTGGTGGCAAAGGTAAAACCTGAACCTCCCGGTGAGGAGCTACGTGGCACTAAGCAAATAGTGCCTGGTCTTCCTCCACCTTTTGCTTCCGCCCCAACCATTTTCCCCTTTGGTTACCAGTTGCTCCAGATGCCATAGAGTAGTTCCACAAAAGCGAAAGAGAGGTTCAGGCACAGGAAGAAAAACAGGTTCCGGGACGTCTTGTCCGACAGGATAGACCTGGGCATGATAAATCGGGAAGAGATTAAGAGAGTCGAGGGGGTGCCGGGACCCCGAGTTGCGGTCCTTCTTTCAAGACCTTCCCAGTCCACACACTCTTTTCCCCACAGCGGGAGGCTGAGGGAGTGTCCCTAACACTCCCTCTCTAGACCCTGGACCATCTTTAGGTCTGGGCTTTCCTTCTGCTGGACACCCCCTCCCAGCAAAACAGAACCCCGCACCTAAACCAGCCCGAGATCTTGCCGAACAGATTGAACTTGGGTGGTTTGTATTCATCATCCTTGATGGACAGGGGCAACATCTTCTCTGCCCGGCGTAGGGCCGGGCCTACTCCCCTCGACAAGTGGCTCCGTGGGGTGATGGCAGTGACAGCGGTGACGCCTCAGACCGGAACCCCCAGCACCAGCCTGGGGCCGCGCGTGGCTGCGAGACACAGACAGACACAGACAGACACAGACACACACCCGGGAACTAGCTGACTTCCGGCCCGGGCCGCGCAACGCGTCCTGGGACGGAAAAGGGGGTGGGCGGGGCTGTGGCCGGGGCTTCCCGGCGGAGGGCGGGGCTTACGGCGGGGCGGGGCGGAGGCTGAGGAAGGTTGAGGAAAGAAGTGCAGCTATGGCGGGATCTGCGCAGCTCATCCCGGCGAGGTCCCACTACCTGAATTCACGCAGAATATTCTGACGTGGCGACATTTGCAGACTAGGCTAGCTGAGAGCTTGAGCCCGCTCACTCCTACTCCGACCGCCTACGACCAATGTTCCCGGATGCACTGAGTCCAGCGCCTGCCCCTTCGCCATTAACCCTCTCTGGGCATTGTTAGGTCCTGGTGCAGTAGGTAGCAATGCTTTAGAATCCGGGCGGCCACGTGTTCTCCCGCCCGTGCGCAGGAAGCCTAAGTGATGGCTTTGCCGGGTGAACACTGTGAACACCTAAATCCTTGTAATCCCCCCCTTCCCCGAAAACAGCGCCTGCCCCTCCTGTGCTGTCACGCGGAAGGCGGCCTTCCCGAAGGACTTGAAGGTACTTAAAAAGAGCCCTTTACAAAGAGGTCACACTAAGTTGAGATTTGGCTAAAGCGTTGCTTCCCCGACGGTCTATGTCCGCTGACACCCTGAAACTCTGTAATTCGTACACGTCCCTTTCGCTTCCAGGTCATCCCCGGGGCAGCAACCTGCCACTATGATTCTTATCAGAACCTCGCTGCCAGTTTTGGGGAAGTCCAGTAAGAAGCCGGCTCGGCGGGGCACAGGGGTGTGCAGGGCACCAGGAGGCGAGCCCAGCGGGCCTTGGCCGGGCAGACTAGACCGCGGGACGCCTTTCCGGGAAATTGTTTGGATAAAGTCAGGTGGTCTGTCACGTGAATGATTAAAAGTTGTTACCTTGCAGAAGAAATGGGAAGGGATGGAGGAAAGAACTTTGGGCTGGAAACTACAAAACCGAGCTTCTTGGGAATTCCTTTTAGTCTAACAGGAAGTGGAGCGTCACCGAATGGGAGGGGTGGCCACTCCGTGACTGTCCCCTGCTTCAGGCGCTCACTTTGCAGGCGGCGCGTTTCCCGGGTTATAAATCCAACGAATGATGCACGCTGCTTGGTTTAGGAAAAAGAAAAAAACAAAAATGAGCAAGCGAGACGCCCCTTCCGTTTTATGCTAACCCAGCTGCAAGCAAATAAATTGGTTCTCCCACTGCAATCTTCTGCACTCAGGTGAGGAGACAGCAAAATACTCTCGCGTTACAATTTTTTTTTTTTTTTTGCAGGATATATGCATGTTTGCTCCCGTTCTTGGAACTTTCCATATGAGGGATACTAATTCTCTAGTTTGATTTTTGAAAAATGTAGGTATTCTGCATTTTTAAAAAACGTTGATGTTTTCAAGATGCTGTGTAAAAACTGCTAGGTTCCACAAATTAAGTTCTGGGAAGAGTATTTTGTCTTTGCCTATCTTAGCGTCTGTTTCATTATTTTAATTTAAACATAAAAATATTTTCAATTAGTAACATTTACTTTTTTAGGAAGCTTTTATATTTGTAATAGTTTTGTCATGCTGCTGGGGAAACCTTCATTGGGTGCAAACTAGGAAGTTCAATGATAAATATTTTCCTTGAAATAGAATTTTTTCTTCAAAAGTGCTTTATTTCAGTACTGTTTAAGGGAAGGGATATAGAAATAATCAAATTTCGGTAACCAATTTCTAGCATTCTCTTACCAAGGTCAGTAGCAATTTGAGCCTGTTTTTGTTTTCTGCCTTTGAAAATTAATTCTGCATTGTACATTGTACTGGTACAAATGTGAAATTTCTCAGCAGGTTTATGGAGAAATCTACATTACCCTTTTGAGACAGTTTTGAAATATGTTGGAAAAATTGAATCAATTTCTAGAGACTCTTGAATTTCCCTCTCTCTACCCCAAATATATAAGCAAGGTATTACCGTGTGGACCTTCTTCTTTCAAAAAAATTTTAATGCTACTTCACAGCTTTCAGTCTTGAACAGCATAATGGCCAAATTCAATACGAAAGGAATTTTTATGTGCAAATAAAAGTGTAGGTGGACACTGTTTAAATTAGGAAAAGTTCTATGAGTGGAAAATATTCCACTGTGCCTTACTTCATTATCTTGAAATAATATTTGTCCCACACGTTAACCTATATATGTTGTCGTGTCAGAAGTCATTTAATGACTATTTACTATATGCCAGATTCTGTGCTTGGCTTGGGAATACAAAGCCTGGTAAGGTAAAGTTCTTTCCCTGGAAGAATTTTTATGGAGAGGAGAAGTTGAAGTGAAGAGAAGGATAAATCAATCAGTCTAGTATTTTAGAACTGTGTGATGTGTAAGTTGTACACATGAGATGCTCTTTGAGCAATGAGGATGAGTATCTGTCACTCAGTCAATCTTTTTGTGTAGCCTAATCCATTCCTTTTCCCCTGTAATAATAATAATTTTGTTATGCAAGAACATGACTTTGGAAAATAAAAAATGATTCATTAGCTCTATTTAGGTGGTCAGTGTCTTGCAAGTCTCCAATCAGGTACAGTATTCTAAAGTCTACAGTTAGAATTCTTAGTTTCTTCATGTTACAAGATTAAGTGGATATATAAGATCATAAAGTAGATGTAGTAATGAATATTTTAAAACTAATAAATGCATTTTTACTAAGAACTTCTTAAATATTTGTTTATATCATCAACAAAGTACAGTAGGTTAACTATGCATATTCTATGGGAGACATATGAAGACCGAGAAATGAAAACAGAAAGAATTAAGGGGCAAGAGTTCCTCTCCCACCATGGTTTCTTCTTTCCAGCAACAACCAGCAAGAATGGGACAGATGCCATCTCTTATCCTCATTCATCTATCCTGGCAACACTATTTTAGACTTCATAATTTTTTAGGTGAATCAAATCGAATGCCCTATGAATTGCTGGTGAAAACAGGAATTATAATAGTGTATTAGAGTAGAGAGATTTGTAAATCCAGAAATTGAATAAAAATGCAAATTTCTCATGTTAAGAAATTTGTAATGTTTTGAACAACCAACAATAAAAAATTAAAAAAAAAATCATAGAAGATGATTTAAATAGAAATGTGATGAGTATATGTCAAAATTTTACATGTTTTTGCCATAGTAAATGTTTGGCCTAAAATGTAAAAAAAAAAAAAAAAAAGAAGAAGTTTTACTCTATGGCATATATGCTCTAGTGTCAGATGTATAAGCATAAATGCTCAGAATGATGTTAGTTTTTTCTGCTTCTGGACCTTGGAGAAAAATGAAAACAAAAATGTAGCATTTTTAGTGTCAATCAACAGGAAGCCATTTTCTGCCTCATGTAATTTTTAAGACATAGAATAGCAAATTATAATTTACAAATAATTCAGATACTATGGACATTGCTATTAAAAGCAGTGCTATTTTTTTCATTTTCTGCTGATTAACAAAATATCACAGAAAACTCTTTTCTTTCTCTTAGTAGTGCCAAGGGAGCTTATTCCTATCAATCACTGAAGCCATAAAAAAGTTTTTTAAAAAGCTAATCACACAATGAGGTAAGTAGCATGTTTTTTTCCTTTTTCTTTTTGAAAGTATGTACTTTATACCACTCAGTACCATTAAGTGTTTTTACATTGCTCTGTCACTAATCTTCAGAACTTTTTCATCTTGTAAAACTAAAATATATATATCTATTAAACAACAACTATCCATTATCCTCTACCTCCATCCCCTGGCAAGTATAGTCTGCTATCTCTTTCCATGAATTTGACTATCCTGAATACCTCATCTGTGTGGAATCATACAATATCTGCCTTCTTTGTGACTGGGCCAGTTTCACATAGCATAATGTTTTCATGTTTAACATAAACATGTTTATGCATGTTTAGCATGTACCAGAATTCCCTTTCTTTTTAAGTCCAATATTTCATCAGATATATATATATATATATATATATATATATATATATATACCACATTTTCTGAACGGATTATACATTTATTGATAGACATTTGGGTTGTTTCTGCCTTTTGCTGTTGCTGATGATGCTGCTATGAAAGTAGGTAAAGTAGAAGAATTTTTAATCTGCAAAAGATTATTTTCAATAAAGATATTTTGGTTTTCTTGAAGATAAAAGTTCCTACTTGAACCAGCCAGTGTCTGTTAGAAAATTCTAGAAGGCCTTCTTCAGAGTAGATACATTGAAATACTACTCCAGAATGCCTTCTTCAGAATAGATACATTGAAATACTACTCCAGAATGCCTTCTTCAGAATAGATACATTGAAATACTACTCCAGATTATAGATTGAAGTCAATAGTCATATTCTTTATGTATGTGTGCTGTGGATGGAACCTATGGCCTTATGCTTGCTAAGCATGCACTGTACCTCTAAGCTATATACCCCCAGCCCCAATACCTGTAAGTTTGAAATATCCTTGTAAACTAGAATGAAGTTGAAAATAGACCTTACAGATGACAAAGATAATTCAAAGTGGCTCAAGCACAGAAGTCAGGAGTTTGGTTCTGACCTACCACTCTTTCTGTGGCTCAGGAAATTTATTTAATATTCTCACCCTCACATGTCCCATCTACAAAATAGAATGGATATATTTTATTTCTCTTCTTACTAAAAATTTGAAACATTGCCAATCTGAGGTATTGTATAATATGAAGAAAGGACAACTATAACAACTTTCTTTACTATTGCTAAGCTCAGTGAGGTAAGGAACTACACCTACCTGTTCATGGTACCTGACATGCTGGACATATGGTATGTGATGATTGATGCAGCACCATGGATGTTTGACTTTTCCCTAAGAACATGAGAAAACTCACATCGATTGGGATTGCTTCTACCTCAAATTTGAAATCTGAAAATATTTATAAGTCATAATTCATTTATATGAAATCTGTTTCTCTTAGAGAAGTGATTTTGGAAGTGCTGAAAATCAGTGTTGAGTAAAAAGGAGAGGTTCCATAGAATATTCCAAGGATCTATTGCCTAACTATCTTGCCCCCCCCCCACTTCCCTGTGTCTAAAACAGATAGAGATTCAAATGAAAACCTCCAGTATCCTAGAATGGGAAAAGTAATATGTTTGCAGATATGGTTGCAACCATATCTGCAAACCAACCATATCTGCAAACATATTACTTTTCCCATTCTATACTAAGCTAAAGATATCTGCAAACATATTACTTTTCCCATTCTATACTAAGCTAAAGATGCTTTATCCATTTCTAGTTTTCTTCCTAGGATACATTGACTCCTTTGATTCTTACAAGTCATTGGTATACCTCTTAGTAATAAGGCCACCCTTAATCCTGGGCAGGTAGTTGTCTGTGGAATTGATCATCTCCAAGCATCATCATCATCATCATCATTATCATCAGGAGCAACAATTAATTGGCAATTCAGGAGGAAGGTGCAAGGCTGGAAAGAAATTTCTTCTCACAAAATTCATATCTGTGCATTTCACAAATAGGGAGGACTTTATTGTCTACCTCAGTAACAAATGACTGGATTGAAGGAAGCAGGTGATACTTTAAAAATATTACACATAATGTTTACGTGTTATTTCCCCTTTATCAATGATAGTAAAGCACACTCCAATGAATTGATAATGTTGAAAGAATATGATAGTATGTATAGAAAAGGGAAGAGGAAAAATAGAAAATATCAGAACTGATGAGCAGCTTTCACCATGGATAAGGGGGTGAGATCAGGAAGGGAATTGGAAACAGGCTTTTATTTACTGATATCCCTATTCTAAATGATGCCCTTGTTATCCATCCTAACCTGATTTTTCCATAAAGAAATGGCCCAGTCAACCTGGCTGCCAGCAGGAGGACTTAATAGGTAGTATAATCAGTACAAAAATGCTTTTTTCATAGCTTTTACTGAGAAATGAACGTTGCAGTAGCATCTATGTATTCAAATGTGATGCTGTGATAAATGTAGCTATTTCTCAATATGTTTTAGTAATTCTTTTTCAGAACTGTAGTTTCAAAAATGTAGTAAAGGCAGAACTAAGCCTTTGAAATATAGGGTTTTTTAATAGTTATCAATCATTTTACATACATATATATGATTAGTTATACTGTACATAAGAAAGGCAGATTACTTAATAGTCTATAATACAGTTGCTGTAGATTATGAAGATCCATTCATATCATTGTATAATTTCTTATTCTTTTCATATATACATGACAGTAGAGTGATCACTGTATAATTAATTGATCATAAATACAAGATCACAAGATGAATCTGTGATACTACACGGATCCTTTTTTTATCATTATAAGGCTATTCCTATTCCTGCTTTTCCTACTGTACTTGTTGTTAACACAAAACAATTTAAATTATTTTGATGTATTTAGACTCACAAAAAAAAAAGTAACAGGAATTAAGAATCTTGTAAGAGTAGATGGGCTCTTTAGGGGAAAAAAGTGAAATGAAATCGTTTAGGAAGGAGAGGATAGAATTCAGACAGAATTGGTAGAAAATGAGAAGAACCATATGGCATTTATAAAATAACAATGAAAGAAACAAATTTCCTGAATATGGGTAAAATTCTTAAGTTAAAAACTTTTTGCAGAATACTGTATAGCACCTTGGGAAAAACCATGAAGTAAAGTGACCTTTCATGTTCTCTTTCTGGCATTTTATATTGTACAGTTACATAAATTCTAGTTTATGCTGCTTAAATTTTAATGGAAAAGGCTTACTCTGGCCAATAGTGAACTTAGTTTTTCTCTTTCTGCCAGCCATCCAATGTCTATAGCTTATGTCACTTTGAGAACCCAAACTAAATTTTCTTTTAAAAAAAAATCTTTATTTATTTATTTTTATGTGGTGCTGAGGATCAAACCCAATACCTCACACATGCAAGGCAAGTGCTCTACCACTGAGCTACAGTCCCAGCCCTGCAAACTAAATTTTCATTTGTCAAATAGGTGAGACTTTATCTGTTAAATCAGGTATGTTGCCTATCTTATTAAATAATATATATTTTGATGATTGTTGCCGCCTAAACCTCCCTTAGGAGTTTTACAAGGAGGATGTTGTCCAACAAATGATGGTTTCCCCCTAAGGCAGATGAGTTCATCAAGAGTTTCCACAGAAACAGGAATATCCAAAGATATTTCAATGCAGAATATCTTTGGAAAGATGTGAAAAAAAATCAGAGATTGGAGACATCTTTTATTTATGAAGTACATTGGCCAAAGAACTGAAAGTAGAAAAGTGACCTATATGTTGTAGGCTTAAGGTCACATTTCAAGACTGGCTGTCCTATTACCATATGGGTGGTGACCCTGGTTTTTTACACAGGGAAAGATTTCTCGTGTGTTGTCTAGTCTTAATTGGACTTAATTTGCATTTAATTTGAGTTTATTCTGTTCAAGTTTTAGGCACCATTTTAAAGGTTAGGGGAATTTGAACATTAAGTCCCTCTCCCCATTCAACTGGCAAGAGTTATGAGCACTTACACACACACAAAAAAATGATCCAGACAGTGTTCTGGATTATTATGACTGCCATAACTCCCTCAGGAGGCATTTAGATTGACAAAAAAGCTTGGGGCACAGCTGTGATGCTTGGAAGCAAGATCTAGCAGCACTGTGTTCAGAGTTCACAGGAGCATGGAGGAAGGATTGCAGCAAGGGCAACTTTCACAGCAGAGGTGATGCTTGAAAGGGATGTAGTGTGGGGCTTGTCGGATGGAGAGAAGGAGAGGCTTTGTAGATAGAGAAAACAGCATGTGCCAGTACAGGGAGTCATGGAATAGTTTGCTGAATACAGTACTGGTAAGAGGAAAGGCATTTTGGAATTCAGTATTTGTGCACTCTTTTTCAGTTTGAACAGTGTCATGCACATAATAAACCTGGCCAGAAATTGTTCATCAGTTGTACAAGTGTCTCTTCCAAATCTCATCTTACATGCTCATAGACGGAAAATCCAGGTTCTGAATTGACCTTTGCAGTCCACCTTGGAGTGATTTTATTTCTTGATAGCTTCAGGCCCTTTTCTGAGAATCTATATTCTATAATCATGGGTTTTTAAGCAAGTACATACCCTAGAGAATGAGCCAGAGGAGAAGCAATCTGTATGGTTTCAGACAAATCTCACAGTGAAATGGTAGCATAGTTACCATTCTCCTACCATCTGTGACATAAAAATGAAAATAAAAGTTTCTCATTGTATGATGCCAAGCTGCTCATTGCAGTTCTACCTTACAAGTTGAAGACAACTAATATTTGTTCATGTGTGCTCTGGCATATTCATTTACAAATTCTCTCTGGATAATTATTGTTCTTCCAGTTTGAAGAGATTAGGCCCCAGGAAAGAATTCTCAACAGTGCTCTATCTAGGAAACTTTGATAGATGATGTAGTAAATAATCAAATAGCAGATCTTTGATAATTCAAATTGCTGATTCATTTAAAGACTGTACAGGAGAGAATGCAACTATTGCTTCATAGACCATGTATTATTTACTTTCTTACTTGACCTTATGTTCATGTTTAAGAAAAAATCTTTATAATTTCAGAT